AGATCTAATCGATAGCGCTCCACCTCCCGCACCAGTTCCGGCTCCTTCCCCCCCAGCGAAGTGACATTCCACGTCCCCAAAGCCAGCTTTTGCCGCCCAGGTCTGGTCTATCTAGACCCCTGCCTTTATTGCCACCCATCTGGCATTGCACCCGACACAGAATGTATGAACTGCATTTATGTAGTGCTTTAATACAAATCACTTTCTCATGTGTCTTTCACCCATTCACACACACACACACTGATAACAGCAAGCTACTTTGTTCTTTGACTCTTTTTTGTAACTAACTTGTAGATGTCTGCACCAAAGTTAACAAGGTAACAATTCCTGACATTAACAAAAGGGTAATGCACATTTTAATTTGACTTATTTAATAGTTCACAGAATATTAATTGTACTCACTCTGTTCTGTGTATTTTTCTTTATAAGCTGTAGGTGGTTATATCAGACAAAGGTAAGTTAATAGTTAATGATTAACAAGTCTCCTGCAAGTCTTAATTCACTTATTCAAAGATTGTTTATTTTACTCACTCTGTTGTAGATTGTTGTTTTTATTATTACTGAGGTATTGATGGCAGATTGAGGTAAAGTAATAATTAAAAACTGCTGAAGGGCTGTCTCCTTTAATTCTTCTAGCTAGTTTAATAATTCATTGATTATTTATCTCACTCAATCTCTTGTACTTTCATGTTTTATTCCCAGCAACGACGTGGAAGACTGAGACTCTGCCTCCAGGTTCTCCATGATGACAGAAGATACGGACCAGATGAGAAGGATGGATGACTACAGGACCAGATGGAGAGCGGTGGTCTTCTTTCTTTCAGTCGGCTGAGTAAGTAATCCCCTCACTGAGACTGCAAAAGTAGCAGTAGTGACATAAAGTGGTTGTTTAGTTGTGTCCAAAATGGTTCATGACTTGTTTTTCTGTATCATAGGGCAGGACCACTCATCCCAGGAAGACCCAGCACCCCTGCCTCTGCCTTTGCCTCTTCACCAACACCACCTTCGTCACCCACCAGCCCAGACGATGAGGAGCGCCCTGGCCTAACCAGCACAGAGGACGTTGTTACCTTCTTCGTCTTCTGTGCTGGTGGGTTTGGGATGCTGCTCACACTCACACACAGGAAGTTGTCACCACCTCTTTGCACGGATGCTCAAAAATCAAGAAAGACATGGACAGTTCAGACTGAATGAGTATTTAGTTTGTCACATTCAGGGCCGCCTGTTACTGTATACTGTATGTACAGTATGTGTACTGTTCATCAACTGAAGAGCACAGTGCAATACATATAAGACAATGTTTTAATTATGTTGTTATATTGTAGAATAGTAATAAATCTTTCATGTATAATTGATAAATCTGATAATGTATGTCATCTTTCCATTTGACTCAAAGACACTTACAAGTGTAACTTTGAACTGTGATTTTGAATAAGTTGGTAGTTGTACAAAAAGTCATAACTTGGTTTAATAGGCACTATTTGGTATTTTTAAGTTGATTTTAGTTTTCAGTTTTGGAAAAACAATTAACCATCATATATAATAACATAAAAACATTGTATAACATAGATTGTAACATTGTAGAGCTCCACAAGTGCACATCAGTTAAAATGGTTACTATAGCTTTCTTGAATATCCAAAATATCATATATTGATACGATCCACATAAATATAAGCAAAATATGTTTAGCTTTTATGATAATGAATAGATAATTTATCCTAATTATGAGTAAACAGTATACAAGTAATTAAGCTTTATAATAAACTCCCTTATTCGGCAGGTGTTAGTTCAAATTTGATAGCTCATAAAGATGACTGAAGTTTTGTCACTCAAATTCAACCTCAAGGCAATAATTGTGTGATTACAGAAATATGATGCATTGTTCTTGAAATTGTACAATACAAGTTTTTTAAAAACTTTTTATTTAACTTTATTATTCAAATATTTAGACTTACTCTTTAATTTTTCCTCTTTCCAAACAATGGTCCTAACACTCTTACAGTAATGATACGTATACAGTAGTAAAATGTCATTAAATATGGTATTTTTGGGTAGAAATCTCAATTTCTTTTTGTACAGCCATAAAACTCTGGGGTAGGAATTGATCACACACACAGATCACAAGAGAAGCAGAGGAACATGCAAAACCTTGTGTCACAAAAGATTAAAATTTTAATCACCCTTATAAATCATTCTATAAATACATGGTTGTCATATCATTAAGAACTTATTTTAAATAGCAATAGATAACAAACAAGCAGTGGGGTTGCTGGGATCAAAGGAGACAAACCGTAACTGTTAGTGGAAGTAGCTGGGAATGTGTGTGTGTTAAGTTTGGTTTCTTTGCCACTGGTCTTCAATGAGATGCTCCTATCATCACTGGTCTTCAATGAGATGCTCCTATCATCACCGCTCTGAAAGACAAAATGAGAATGGCTTACAGTAAAAGTACGGTGATTGTGTGCAGAAAGGTAGACGGATAGACTTACTTTCAACTTTCTTCTTTAGTGGCAACAGTGCTGCTTTTGCCTGAAAAGCAAGTAGAGAATAAGTAACCAAAACGTATGTTTGACACATGACACATTTAGCTGGTTTATTTGCTTGTAGTGTAGTGTTGTGACCGTTTTAAAATTAGGAGCTAATCATATTTTACCTTCTTGATAGCAGTCCAGTCTTCGAGGATGTCAATGTCTCTCAACATGTAGACAATGAAAGGCCCTGTGAGATACAAAGGAAGAGGTATAAAATCATCGGTCAGTCTGTTAACTCCAGCTCACAGTCACAGCCTGAGAAAGAGGCAAATAAACTGAGATGCACTCAGAATAAAGGAACTACAACACAGAGAATATCACAGAAGATTAGCTGGAAAACTTGAACAAGCAATTTCTGAATGTGGCGTAACGGCAGTGAGGCTAATATGGAACTCTAACAGTAAAGGTGTGGGCAAAAAGTAAAAGAGGATGATGAGGTAAGTTTTACCTGAAACCAGAGCTACTTTCTTTTTCCTCTCCGACCGACCCAGCAGGTTCTTTCTTTTACACTTCTTGCTCCTCATCTCGTCACTCCATTCTGGAACGAGAAAAAAAAAAGCCATTAATTACATAACTTGTCTCGCTGATTACATTTAGGTTTGTTTCTACTGAGACATTATACGGACAAAGCAAGAAGTGGAAAATGTGTTCTCATACATGTCTGCTGTGGACGGTAAAGGTTGTCTGAAAAGTGGTGATGACAATGTGTAGTAATATCCTCAGATTGACATTTTGGCTGTACCTGAGGTGAGGTCTATATTCTGTCTGTCCTCCTCCAGTCTCCGTATCTTTTCCAGCAGTTCTGTCTTCATGGCATCAAACAGCAACGTCTGTTCGCTCTGTAACACACATACATAAATAAATACATTTGTTCAATACCACTGGTTCCATTGTTTGAGTGTCCAGTCTGAGTTATTATGGCTGTCCCTTTTCCTCTTCTGTGCCCTCTAGCTGTGCCCAGGGGTGCTACACCTGATTGCCTCTCAGTCTGGGATTTTGTTGCTTTTGTGTCTTTTGATAGTCTTGATTTAGTGTCTTGGTTGTTTGTAGCTCTCTATGTAAATAAATCCCATGGATTTGGTTGTTGTAACAGTGTCTTTCTATGGTTGTTTAAGGGTAGAGGTGGAGTGTGGGGTGTAACAGTGGGCCGTATATATACTGTATGTCTAGAATAGAATTACAGTGCATTCACACATAGCAAACAGCAATGATGATTATTAATGTAGAGAATTAAATAAAATATGTTAGAAATAAAGAGTCTATATTTGCTGCTGCCTATAAACAGTAGATAGTTGAGATCTTGTAGTTGTAGTGGCTCAGTATACAAGTAGTGCATGTGCACACTGTGTGTATTACCTCCAGGTGCTGCCTTGCTCCTTGTAGTTCACACTCGTATTTGTGTTTGATCACCTGTAGACACAGCTCTCTGTACACTCCTGTAAGTAGAGCCACAGAGAGGATGTTAGAAACAGAGACGCCACTGTGGACATTCAGGGCTCCAAGCAGCAATGCAGCTGGAACCCTCTTGGTTTTGTTCTCATTCTCCTTCTTCTTCTCCTTCTGCCGTTCTCCGCTAAAAGTGTAAAACTGTAAGACCTAGAAACACCACAATTGGCAGGTGGGTTGCGAATTCCACCCACTACTCAGGCACGTAAAATGACACTCACTGACCTCTAGGTGGCACTACAATAATCAAGTTTACGTTTTCGCAATTATCTCAAAAACAGCTTAGCCTACAGTAAAAATTATTTTAATCTCATCTGCATCTTTGCTCAATTAGTCAAAAAATGTCAAATTTTGTGACTTTTTTTTCCAAAACCTATTTTGGACATCTTCTCCAAAACCGCTGGGCCAATCGTCCCGAAACGAGTCCGGGTCATCTATCAGACTCTGTTGATCTTGAGCTGTTAAAGAAAATTTAATATGTATGAAACTATAAATGGGCAGAATAATAAAAATACAAGGAGACACTGTTTGCCACTAACTTTGCTGTCATGTCCAAATCCAGGCATTTTGCATTCAGTTTTCTCACCTTAAACCAGCAAAAGTAGGATTTCATAATGTATAGGAGCTCTAGGACAGTCCAGTCCTCATTTAGCATTATGTCACTACACAACAAGCCTTAATTTAAAATGTGCTCAATTTAATTTAATTCAATTAGGCTTTATTTCACTGTCATCTTATCATCTCTATCCATTTACTTCGTTTCAGATCCACATTCACAGTGAATCAAACTTTACCAGAAGGACTGTTTGTTAAACAGCCCCACTCAGTGGCCAGGTGTTGTATCATGCTACTATAGACTTGAGAAAACACACATCTACAACCTACAAAACTTTCCGGAAAAGATATATTATAAAAATGTACATTACATTGTTTCAGATGTGTTTGTTGTTTGCAGGGTAGAATACAAAATACAAAGTTGCATTAAACATCTGAATATCAAGCCCCTGTGGTCAAAAGGTGTTTTACTCACCAGCCACTTGTGTTCGTATCTGCATGCTGTTCTGTAGTGCAGCCAGTGGTTCTCTGTATTCTCCAGCCTTCCCCGTCAGCACCTCGTCCAGCTTCACTTTGACCTGGTTCAGCCGCTCCCGAAACAACCTGCAACCACAGTAAGCTCAGTCTTTCCTTCTTCTCTCCTTCCATCCGTCATACGACTGAGATTATTGTTACTTACTTCTCTTTCAGCTCCTGAAATTGTTTTTCCAGATCCAACATCTCATCTAGACATTCCCCTCTCCTCCGCTCACAGTCTTCATCATCCATCTCTTCACAGAAGAAAGACAGAGAGAGGCAGAAACAGTGAACAACACAACATCTTCATCTGTCCCTGCATACAATCAGGCAAGGAGCACTTGGATTTTACCTGAACTCTCCTCTTCCTCCTCCTCCTCTTCCTCCTCTTCCGTCTCATCCAAGTCACTGTCCCTCTCCTCCGTGCTCTCCTCCATGGTCTCCTCTCCTCCTCGTTCGTTATCTCTTGGTTGCTCCACCTCTCCGTTGGCCTCAGGGAGTTGGGACTCTCCTTCTGCCTCCATCTCCTCCTCCGGCTCCCGCACAGGGGGTTGGGCGGGCATGGCTGGCTGAGGAACATGCAGACAGACATAAAATAACTACACTACAATGTGTCTGGGTAAAGGTTGAAAAGTCAAACTAATTCAAATCCTCTTGTTGAGCTAGTTCATTGAAGAGTCATTTAGTACACTGGGTTACTCATGTGTACTTGTGTTTATTAACTTTTTGCACTTTATTGTTAACTTGTTGAATAATGGTGAATCCTCTTTTTGTGTACATTCATTTACTTTCATCATGTGTTGAATCTTAATCAAGTGCTACATTTTCTAAACTGTTCAAATAAACGAGGCTGACTGATTTAAATATTTTTGGACTAAATTTTTGTTGTGTTTTTTTTTTTCAACATTATGTCCTGATTTGCAAAATAAGTATGTAAATAAATTATAAATATTTTTTATTCTATTATTTGGTAAAAGGAAAACAAACATTGTATGCATCCACTACTGAAGAAAAGTAGATTTGCTCAGATTTAAAACACTGAATAACTTTGGAATTTGCAAAATATAGCTCTACATTTGCCATTTTATTTTACATTTGCTATTTAAGGCACTACTTCTATTGCACACAGAAACTGTACGTGAAACAACTTCCTTCAACATAATGACACTGAGATGTGCTAATTTTGCTCAACGTGGGTGATAACGATGAAAGACAACACTGCAGTTGGGTTGCAATAGTAAGCCACAAAGCAGAGCACAGGAGGCAGACAAAGGCACAAAAGATGCCACTCTGTTGGTAAAGCAGAAACTGTGAATGGTAGTTTATTGTGCAGACAGAAAATAGTCTGAATAAAACAGCACCGGGAAGCCCGCGGGACACCGAGCTACCGTGTGGCTTCCGCATCTCTGTCAAGCCACCTAGAAAAACACAGCACAGGACCGGAAACAACCCGATTCTTCTTGACGAAAAAAGCAAAAGAAAACGAGCTAAAAACTACAAAATCGACCTCACACCGAGTTAGAAACACTCTCGAAATAATTACAGCTGTAATATAAACGGGTTATTTCCCCCAACATTTGTCTACATCCTTTAACAGGGCTTTTATTTTGTCTCCTCACCGGAAGTCCAGTTTGATTGGCACAGATTGACCACTGGTAGCTTCCGTGATGTCATACAGTAAGATGGTAAACGGTATGAGGTCGACGGCGGTGTTTACTCCGAAATAAACATCCCAACTGAGTCTGGAGCCTGTTATACTGTCAGTCTATTTACTTAAAAAAATAAATAAATTAACAGACACTCGTTGTCGCATTTTAATGTCAAAATAGCTGCAAATAAACCACAGTGAAGTCAAGTGCAACACTAACGTTAGCTAACAATTGAAACCACACACAGACTGCCTCCTCATCACACTGTCACACTGTTCAAGTTGAGTTACGGACTCATATTTTCCTCTCTACTTTGATATGAAGCGATATTAACCTGCGTTTAAATGTCAGTAAGCAGACTGGTGCTTTCAGTCGCCTTCACACTGACCCTGTCTCCCAACTGCACACGGATTAACTAGTAACGTTATCCGTCCATGCAGGCGGGCGATGCTGTTAGTAAACACATCTGAACCGTCCGTTCACCGGACAACACCGCGGCCACAAGAGCCCGCTCACCTTCTCCCTCTGCTCCGCTGTACCAAGCTTAAAGTCTCACTTCTTATATTTCCATTCTTTAAAAAAAGCACTTCCTCTTCACTTCGGTCTTCAGTTCGACACTTTGCCGGACTCTACAACCAGTGGGTTCAGCCAATGAGCGCCGAGTTCTACTGTCGGATCGACCAATAGGAGCGAGCGTCCCCCCAGACGTCGCTGGTCCAATCACAATGTTTGGTAAGCCAATCACAATCCAGTCTGTTGCTGGGAGCCATCAGATTCAACCAATAGACGGGACGTTATACAAATACCGCGCATCTCCCTTTTTTCAATCTCACTCTAACACAGTATATTGTAATGTAATGTAATGTAATGTAATATAATGTAATATAATGTAATACAATGTAATATAATGTAATATA